ATCCAGCACAGTGACACGGATCCGAGCCGTGCCCGTCCGTGCCGGATCGCCGCCGTCGCTCGCCCTCAGCACCAGCTCGTGAAACGCCGCCTCCTCCCGGTCCAGCGCCTTCGCCAGCACCAGCTCGGGACGCTGATCGCCGCCGGGGCCCGCCTGCACGGCCAGCGAGAAGTGCTCGTCGCCGCTCAGCTCGTAGCTCTGCAGGGAATTCCGGCCCGAGTCCGGGTCGTGAGCCTCAGTGAGGGGAATCCGCGCCCCCGGGGCTGTCGTCTCGCTCATTTTCTCTTCCACCTCAGTTTCCTTGAAGCTGGGCGCGTTGTCGTTAATGTCCGTGATCTCCACTTCTATTCTGTAAACCTGCATTTCCCCCTCCGCTATCAGCTCACAGCGCAGAACGCATTTGTCCACCAGCCGGCACAGCTGCTCTCTGTCGATCCTCTCCGCCGTCACTAAATGTCCCGTCTTCCCGTGCAGAGTGAAATACTGCGTCCTACCTTCAGAAACAACGCGGACGCCGCCATCGCTGAGCGCCGGCAGCTGCAGCCCCAGGTCCTTGGCCACATCGCCCACGAACGAGCCCTTGGGCATCTCCTCGGGCACCGAGTAGCGCAGCTGTCCCCACGCCGCCTCCCACGCTGCCAGCAGGACACCCCAGAGCAGAGCTCGCTGCCGCCGGCCCCAGCGCCTCCCCGCCGTGCTCATCTCCGCCGCGGCACCTCTCCACCGCCTGCTGTTCCTCGCCGCTAAGCCGAGACAACTCCGGCTCCGACTCTGCTCCCAGCTTCTGCACAGATTCTCAGCTGCCGGCCCCTCCCTCTTGCTACAGAACGGTTCCGCAGCGCGTAGACGCACACAGATTGACCGACCACCGAACTAGAAAGCTCGCAATCTAGTGATCGAGCCGGGCCGCAGCGGGCGGGGCTGCCTCTAACGCTCCGATCTTCCTCTCGCTCCTCTCGGTCAACAGCGGCGCCCGCAGCCTCCTCCCGGCACTGCAGGCACCGAGCGCTGCCGAGCGCCGCTCGTTCTGCCTTGCCTGCGCGCAGCTTTCGGGCTCGGGACATCCAAGCTAAGAAGACGTCGCTCTTCGTCTAGCGCGGATTTCCTGCTTCGGCTTTTCTCCAGCCGATCTCTGGCTCCATCMTCCAGCTGATGAAGACCCGACAGAAGTAACACGCATGCTGTGATTATGCTATTTCTACTGCACGAGAAAATGTATTTATCATGCTCATACAACATGGATATAACCATCTCCTAATATGACATCTGGAGTGTCACGAGTTTTATTTCATTAGTCCGAACTCCTCCACCAAATGCAGTGTTTGTACCAGAGCTTGAAGAACTTATTCCCTAGCCGTTTTGMGGATCAAATTCCTGCTATGGAACAGGGAAACTATCCATTCATAGTCGCAAAGGACACTAATCCAGCAGTAGAGGGGCTGTCCTGAATAAGTTTCCATTACTCCCCGTTATCCAACCACGACTTAGGAGTTATTCATTACAACCTTACTTAATAMAAGCATGACAGTGCTTACTCTGATAACTTAGTGCACCCACATATAAACTTTTGAAATCCACAATTAACTAGACTGAGTAGTGTAAGCATTTCTGCAGCAGCTCTCCATAAAACGAAAGAGTTTTTTCCACCTATAAACAAGGTTCAAACACAWCCTTTCAAGAAAGAAACTATTGAGAAAAACTTATCCACATCAAGCCTATCACACATATCTCATTCTACACAATCATGATCCGCTTACTTCGTTAAACACACATAATAAATCAGAAAACTAAATTTTCTTAGACAAAATATTTAAGCTGAACTAGAATATAAGAGGAATCATATGAGATTCAAAACCCTTGAACAGCAAAAACCTGCCACTGAGCCTACAAGCCTTACAGCAGAGGGGGCAGTAATTGTCCGTTCCCAACGCTTGATGAAAAAAAAAGACAGGAGAAGGGATTATTTCACGCCATAATGGAAAACAGAGATAAGCACTAAAAGACGCAGGGAAGGAAAAAAACTCAAGGGCTTCCTGCCACCAGCACACCGCTATTTAAAGATGCGGAAGAAAGGAATTCGCTTTACAGACCTGAACTCCGTCCGGAACGGCGGGCGGCTCACCCACAACGACGCCCGTATTGGGGCTCGGCTTCTCGCAGCAATCCCCGCCCAGAAGCTCCTCCGCCGACAGGATGGGCACCGGCGGCGGCGGCCAAGCGGCCTCGGGCACGGCGCGGGCCGGCGCCGCCACGCACAGGTTGTAGGAGTAGGGCAAGGTGCCCTCGCAGAAGTCGGCCGGGAAGGCGGCGCCGGCCACCGAGAAGCGCTGCGCGCCCAGGCAGCGCAGCACGG